GATCGTGTTTATCATCAAATATTACGTAAAATCATAAAAAATGTTTTTATTTAGCTAAAATACCACACTCTAAAAAAAATGAATTGTTAAATGAAAGGTTATAAAAGTTAATAAATGTATATAAACTTCATATTTTATAGAATAAAAAATATAAGTTGTTACCTATATAAAAGAATATAGTTACATTAAAGTGGTAGAGTATTTTAATATCAATTGTAGTATAGTAGGATGTTGGATAGCTGCTAGTTAAAACTGGATAATTGAAATAAAAGAAAAAAGTAAGAGGCTTAATTCTGGATGAGAAACCTTTTATCCTAAAGCTGAGAAGAGGTTTTATGAATGGATTATAAAATAAAAAAAGTAAGGTCTCACATTTACTAATAATATGAAGTAGAATGCTGAAAATTTTAAAAAAACCAAATATGAAAGTTCTTTATGATAAGTCAAATTTTAAAATATCTTATTACTGGTTAACTACTTTTATAAAAAGATATAGGTTAGTATTGCAGAGAAGAACTAGAATATCTCAGAAGCTTTTTAATCAAACTAAAGAGCAATTAGAAAAGTTTTACCAATTTGTTACTAACTTAAGAATTAAAAAGTTATTTGAATTAAGGAATATTTATAATATGGATAAAACATCTGTTTGGTTTGATATGACTAGTAATTTTACCATTAATTCAAAAGGTAAAAAAAAACAGTCAATATTCGTATAATAAATAATGAAAAAAATAGGTTTATAGTTGTATTTACATATACTATAGATAAGCTTTTCTTTTTTTTTATAAAATCAAAATTTACTCACTAGTACTATTAATTCATTATTATAGATGTAACCAAACTTCCTCCAATATATATTTTTAAGGAAAAGAGAATATTATGCAAAAAACAAATTCCTTCTGATGTTATTGTTTAGTTTTAAAAAAATAGTTGGATGGACTCTGATTTAATGGTAAAGTATGTAGATTATTTTAATGATATAAGAATAAAAACAGGTCTTACAGAAATTTATCAATGCTTATATATAATTATTTTAAAAGTTATTTGAAAAAATCAGTAAAAAGAAAGTTTTATGAAATTGGCTTTGATCTTATAGTAATTCCAGATGGGTTGATTAGCATTTGTCAGCTACTGGATGTTGCAATAAATAAACTATTTGAGAATAATCTTTGTAAAGAATAACATATTTGAATAGCTGATAGTGATGCTAGAGAAACTGTTAAGGAAAACCTTTGTTATGCTAGATTTAGTAATATATGTTTATAGGTTAAAAAGTTTTGGGAAAGGATTCCTGATGAAATTATTATAGAATTTTTTAAAACTTATGAAATATCAATCGATTTAGATTCTGATTTAGAGATCCTTGATAAAGATAATATTAATAGTAGTAATAATATCGATAGTGGTGACGATATTGATGATGATATTGAAGATGATATTAACGATTATGTTAATATAATTTGTATATTGAAACATTAAAAATAAAAATTTTTTATATATAGTATTTTATAAAATTTAATTAAGTTGCTTATTTTCAGATATTAAGTTAATTTAGGGGTCGCTTATTTTTGGGAATTGTTTATTTTTAGAGGAATACAGTAATATTATAAATATAAATATAAATCACATGATTTTCATTATTCTATAAATACACACTTTTTAAATGCATCTTTATATTCAATTCTAAAGGGATACATTTATAGAGAGTTAACTGTAATAATATCATAAAATCTCAAATTTAAGCATTTATCAAATTTAAACACTTTTATTAATTTTGTTGTAATATTTATATCAACTAAAATTAAATATCTTAAATTTAAATATTTTTAGATATAAAATTTTATCTATTTTAAAAACTAAAATGAGAGATAATTTTCTGTAACTAAATTAAATTTGTATAAATTTTCTATTTTAAGTTAAAATCAAATTGTATTTATTGATTATTTAAATCAATTTTTTTTCTTTATAGATTAGTATTACTTATTAAAAAAATAACATAAAAAATAAGTATAAGATAATGTATATCATATTCACTTGAAGAAAATTAATAATAATTAGATATACTTAAAAACATAGAAGAAATGCTGTAGCAAAGTATTTTAATTTAGATGCTTTAATAGTAGAAAGATGAATAAAGTACAATAATAAATAGAAAGTGAAAATAAAAAAAAAGAAATGTATTAGAATTTCAGAAAGAAAAATCTTATATCTTGAAGCAAAAAATCTTTTATAGTTAAATAATTAAATAAAGAAAAAAAGCTTATTGTTAATTATATTTTAATAAGATTACAAATGTTTAAAATTCTCAAAGAACTTGTAATTTAAACATTATATTTAACAGAAGAATATGAGTTTAAAGAAAATTTTTTTTAAATTAATTATTTTATAAAAAGATATGATTTATCATTAATAAGAAGAACTAAAATTTCATAAAAGTTGCCTAAAAACATAGAATAAAATTAGATGAATTTAAACAATTTGTTATAAAACTAAAAATACAATACAATTTTGATTTTGAATAGTATTTTAATATAAATAAAACTCTAATATAGTTTGATATGGTAAAAAATATAACAATTAATAATAAAGAAGTTAGAACAATACATATTTGTATTACTGAAAATAATAAAATCCATTTTATTATAGTTTTAATTTTGTTTAAAAATATTAATAATTTTATTTTTTATTTTTATATTTATTAATTCAAAACTAATAAATTTAGTATAGTTATTAAATAGTATAAAATATCTTTAATTTATATTTTTAAAGTAAATAACTTTTTCAAGATGAAGATATTCTAAAAGATGTTAACTAAATTTAAACAATATAATTTTTGATTATTATTCCTGTAAGATTAACTAGTATATATCAATCATTAGATGTATTAATTAATAAATCTTTTAAAGATAATTTGTAAAAAGAATAGTATAAATTGATGAGTAAAGATAATTCAAATATAACTGCAATAGGTAACTTAAAAAGACAATAATTAGTGATATATGTGATGAGTCAAAAGATTTTAGAATACTATTTCAAATCAAATTATTTTTTATTATTCAAAAATATTCTATTTCTAATTTGTTAAATGGATTAAAAGATAATATAATATATGAAGAACTTGATAAATTGATTGAAAAGTATGAAAAAAAATTTAGAAGAGTTAAGTAATGATATTAAAATTATTAGCAATTAATAAATTGATTTAAATAAAATTTTCTTACATAAATCTTTTTTGTATATTTATATCAATTTTAAAAGTAAAAGAATAAAACATTAAAAATATTTTTTATTAAAGTTACTAAAATAAACCTTAAAGATTTTGTAAACCATCTAAATAAAAAAGATAAAATTTAACAAAATTATATTAAACCTTATAAAAATCTACAAAATTCTGAAAAAGATAAAATTATATTAAAACTTATAAAAATGTGAAACTATATCAAAACTTTAGTAAAAATTAGTAAAATTAAAGTTTAAATATTTTGTCAAATCTAAAATAAGTTTAAATAAGCAGCCTTAGATATAGTAATAATAGGAAATAATAATTTTTATACTTAAAAGTAATCCTTCTATTCAATTCTAATTAGTGATCTTAAAGATCTAGTTAAATCTAACTAGAATCAAACCTGATAAATATAATCTATAATATTAGATGATAATTTCTAAACAGATATATATAAAGTGGATTATAAATACCAATTAATAATTAAAATCAAAGTTAAAGCTTTTAATTAATAACTTCTTAAGATATATCTAATACCTAAATAAGTTTCAACTACTTCTAATATTTCAAAAAAAAATTTTACTTACTTATTGATCAAAATGTAAGCTATAAATATTTAAGCTTAAATTATTATTATAATAAAAATTCTATAAGAATAATTTTGACTAATTAATTTTTTGTTTTATAGCTAATTTGATATTTTTATTATAATAAATACTTTCTAATTTTGTTTAAATAGACCTTTTGTGTAGATATTTGATTTTTTATAAATATCATACAGTTTAATTTTTAGATTCATTAAATGAATTTTTAATATCATAATATATTATGTTATAAATTATTATTTATATTAATACTTTTTTAAATTTAATAATCTAAGGATTTTATTATAATTTTCTAAAAATTCTTTACTACTGTAATATTTATTAATCATCATTTTAGTTTTTCATTAAGGCATTCTTTTTATATCACTATATACTCTTAATATAAAATCCATAGTTTATTAGATATTTAAAAAAAGTTTTACCAATTTCAAAGCATATGAGATGTGTTTTTTTAACAAAGTAAAATATATATTGTGATCTCAATGATATATTGTTTTTTTGTTTGATCTAGTTTTCTTACCTGCTAGTACTTATTGATCTACTATTCATTACTTTATGTTGGACCATTAAAACCATGTCTTATTCAGATTCTGCAAAATTTTCCTTAGGGATTCTTAGGTTCTGAAGCCTGATTGATAATAATGTTGAAGTTAATACTAGAAGCATACTTTTTTGTGTGTTTTTTTGAATTCCTTTTAATTTTTAGTAGTTAGCTCTCATGAATCGTACGGAAGATAGTATCAAAGATCCATTGTTCAGAATTTTCGATCGAAAAGTCGCGCTCTTCTCAAGAAATACATTAATGTCTAGCAGACATCAATGCTGATGTTTTCATTCCTCTATTTATTTAATACTTCGCCGTATAAAGAGACTTGATCTATCACGAAATGACGTCAAGTGGGTAGGTTTTCTCCTAAACCCGGGTCTAGGTATAAGTGAAAATCCTAAATTTTCGGGATAAAATATTTTTTCAATGGTTTATTTATCAAAAGTCCTTAGTGAAAAAATGAGATTATATTTTATTTGTGAATTTAAACATATTTACAAAATACGCCAATTGTTCACTTAAGAAAACGAATACGTTAATTTTTAAAAATAAAATTAGTAAATTAAAATAAAGAAATTCAAAATTGTGAAGAAAAGAAAAGATAATAAAATAAAAATAAAAATGTTTAAAAGCCTCTACGAGCTTTTCTTGAAGACATATTTTTTTCATCTTCATCGGAAGAGTACCTCCTTCTTTTTGATTTTTCTTCCCGTGAATATAAAATCCTCTGCTTCTCAGCATACTCCTGAAGACGCTCATTTCTAATCCTGTCCTCTTCCACGGCCCTTTTACGTCTTTCGTCTTCTAAAGCTGCTTCCTCAGCGGCCTTTTGTTCTTCTACAAGTCGTTCCTCTTCATCGATCTTTTCTCTCTCTTTTCTTTCAACCTCCTTTTGTTCTTCCATTATCTCAAGCTCCTTCTTCTTTTTATCAAAGCTTTGAAAAATCGATTTTCCGAAGGCAACGCGATGCTTTACTAACTCACGATCGAACATCAATTTCTTATATTCGTCTTTAAGTATCTCCTCAAATGTCTTTGTAGACCATTGAGTCCAATCCATCACTTTCTTTAATTCCATTAATGAAATATTTGGGGACGTTGCGGTTGTCGAATTTGTATTTGTTGAAGTTGTTGAAGCAGTCGGAGCTGCTTTTGATTGGCCTCCCTTGATCCTTTCGCTAATCAATTGGGCACGGGTTTGTTGGAGCAAAGCAAGGTTATGGAGCGCAATTTTATGATCTGGTTTCAGCCTGAGTGCTCTCTGAGTCCAATCTAAAGCTGTCTCTAATGATTCAAGGTTCTTTCGTTCTTTTCCGGTTATGTAATAAACTCTTGCGATCCATTCCATTATTTGATGATCTCTATGTTGATACTTTTTAGAAGCCACTTCGTAGAAACGTATTGCGTTTCCATAATCGCCTAAAAGGGCACAAGTATGTGCGTAATTAATATTGAATTCAGGCTTTGGACAATTTTGTAATATTTTCCAGAAACCCTCATTTGCTTCTTGCATTCTTCCGGTTTCTGCCAATGCCACGGTAATACCATTAGCTGCCCATATATTTTTCGAGTTCAAATTTAAAGCCTTTTGGAATAATTCTACAGATCTTTTGTAATAGACTTCCCTCTGTGATTTTTCTTGCTCCTGTTTGAGTTGACGTCCCTTAATAAGGTAGAGACTACCTAATGCTGTCATGGCTACTAAATCATTTTTATCCGCCAAAGTATGCAAAAGGTTTCTAGGACTATGATAATCGCCACGCCTTAATTGATATAGTGCTTGAATTTTTTTGACTTCCACATTGTCTTCATCGAGGTCTAAAACTTCATGGATAATTTCATCGACTTTTCCATGATGCTTAAGCTTTTCCTCAATCGCAGCCAAGCGTAATCGTGCCAAAACAAATTCGGGACCATGATCTATAATGTATTTATAGATTTTTCTCGCTTGCTCTGTATTGTGAGCGGCCTCATGGGCTCGTCCTAAATTATAATACACTGCAAGTCCGCGATATCCTCCCTTCGACGGCAATTTCCTGACAATTTCTAATGCTTCACTATAATGTTCAATCGCTTCGGTATGATATTTAGCTTTAAAGGCCATATTTCCCATTCTATTAAGAAGTTCGAATGGAACTGGCCTATGAAGGCGTTCATATAATTCCTTTGCCTTTTTTAATGATGCAAGCGCTTTAACTGGATTTTTCCTTTGCTCGAAGAACCAAGCCTTTACGGTTGAAATGTCGGGATTTTTATATTTATCCTCTACAAAAGCTTTTGAGATTCTATCAAAATCCGTTAATGCCTTTTGCTTAACTGATTGATCCGAATCATTAAAGCCAATGTGAGCGTTCAACACGCATAAAACTGTGGTAACATCCATATTTTTGATATTTAGGTGCCATAGCTTCTCGAATTCAGCTTTTGCCTCATCGTAATAACCATTATGAATTAACATCTGTCCGTACCCATAACGAGCTGAAGTATGATTTTCATTAATGTCTATAGCATGATAATAATGATAAAAGGCTTTATCAAAATCTTCCATGAAATGAAAAGCTCTTGCTAATTGATAATGCGTTTCGGATTGCATAAATCGGGAATCCGCATATTTCTCAGCGCGTCTTAACGCTTCAAGTGCGAAATCCATCTCTTCTCGAAGGTAATACCCATGTGCCATAAGAATCAAAGCACTTGATTTAGTTGGATCGATATCAAGGGCCAACTCCACACGTTCCATGGCAGAACAATAATTAGCTAACCTTTCTTCATCAGGTATATCTTCATAGGGATCAAGTTGCTTTGAAATGTCAAATTCGATAGTGGCAAGAAGGATATTAGCTGGTACACTACTTGGATTCATTACAACGGCCCTATCAAAGGCCTGAACAGCTTCATCGAACCGATTCAATTTGTTGAAACAAAGACCAATTCCGATACGAGGATCAGGATGAGTCATAAAAGGGTTTAATCTAGCAATTCTCTGATATGTGGCAAGGGCATCCTTGAATGTTTTTTGAGAATATTGTATACGAGCCAAACCGAAAAGAGCCGGTATAAAATTTGGGGAAACTCTTAAAGCATTGGTGAATTCACGGTGCGCTTGCACCGGATCTTTCTTTGCAAGGTATATAAGACCTTTACCCACCAAAGAAACTTGATTATGAGGATTTAATTGGGAAGCTTCGTTGAATTTCTCAGTAGCTTGAATCAAAAAATGATTTTTTTGGTCAACATCTGCTTGATACTTTGGTGCCTTGTACATTTTAAAGTAAATGCTCGCGAGTAAGTTCAAACATTTACAACGATCTTCTGATGATCCGGGTGACAAAAGACCTCTTTCTAAAATACTAACGGCTTCTTCAGGAGAATCACGCTTTACGTTATAAAAAAGTGCAAAATGAATCCAGTATTTCATGTCAGTGACTTCATTGCCAAACATATTAAGAGTTTCTCTCGCAGTTCCAAGTTGATCACAATCAATTTCAACAGTTTGGTTTGAAGTTGGAAGAGGAATTTCAACAACTTTTTGAATAGATCCAACATTCATCTTTATAATGTTGACGTGAAAATAGAAAAATTTATTACAAAGTGAAGGAAATTTTTAAATTGGTGGAAGAAAAGAAAATAAATAGTGTAAAATATATATTCCGAGTTGATTTTTTTAAAATGGTAGTTTTTAGTGTAACATCACAAAATGTCGATCACCAAATCGTGTTGTATTCTAGAAAAAAAAAAGATCTTCAACCGGTTACTTTTTGCTTAAAATTAAATTTAATGGAAAATCCTACTTTTTGTGCATTAAAAAAAATAAATCCCGATGTTGTCACGTGAACTTTTACGGTATATTCACTGTTTAGTTTCTATTCTATATATACATAAACCGGGATGTATTTACATCTTTTAACTCGTGTTTGTATTTGTTAATACTCAACATTCATTTCTTAAATGATATAACATTGAATTCTTTTATTTTGTTTTTGTCACTTTAAATCGGTCATTATTTAAAAAATTTAGATTCCACAAATAATAATCTATCATCATTAAAACTTCAAAACGCGAATAGGAATTATTTATCAAATAAGCGTTCATAATTAAAAAAGTGGCCAGATACGCAATATTTAGCATACTTAGTTGTTGATGTGAATCGAAATAATTAACCCTCTCAGTCTGGAAAGGAGATTATAAATGAAGTTTTCGAGATTAACAATTTACATATGTCATACATGAACCATTCAATAAGAGGTAGGATAAAAAGCAATACGAAGTGTGAATATCATAACATCATCTCAGTACGATATATTTAGTCAAATATTATTAACCCAATAATATGTGATACAACAAACTACCCTATTTATTCCATCTATCTCAGTTAGACCATTATCTCCTACTACATTATCTAATAATGTATTAGCCATAGTAATTATTATATCATTTAACTTGTGGTTTGCTTCCATTATTTGCATTGTACCAATATATTGAATTTCCAACATCCTCATACAAACTCGGATTGGTCGCAGGACCTAAAGAAAACCCAAAGGTTAACAACCCACCGAGGAATGCTAATATTATAGCTAAAGATAAAAAAAAAAAAAAAAAATCTTAATATCGTTTAATTGATCATTAATCAAATTTAAGTACAAATATTTGAATTATCATCTAACCTTTTTTAACTTTTTTTGGATATGCTGCCATATTAAAAACTGGAAATCCCATTACATTACCAAATATATGAGCAAAAAATGGTGGAATAAAATGACCTTTATAAAGAAGTTTTGAAATTAATTATGGATTTCTTAATATAAATAGGAAACATCAAATAAGTAGATCTTACCGGTTCTCATAAACAAAAACGTGGCATACCATCCAAACAATGTCGTATAGAAGAATTGAAATACTTTAGAAATGAATTAAATCAATTGAACGGGTTAATGATTTCTATGATTAATATGAACGATAAATAAATAAATATATATTACTTGAAGCAAATATTGCAAATTTTGCTGTTGCCATAGTCCTTCCATTAGTGACATAAACCTCCCAAGCATGATGTATATGTGCTTTCTCGCGATAAGGAAAGGGATATAAAACGTTTAAATGTTAATAAAAGAATTGAAAACTTGAGAAAAATTATCAAGAAAACTTACCTATTCCAAACACCAAAGGCGATAAAAATATGATTTGAATCCGAGAAAAATCTGCCAAAGCGAGTAGAGGAACCATGCAACATCTAAATACAAATTCTTCAGTCATTGGAGCCTTTGAAAAAAATAAAATAAAAAGTTTAAGCATGAAATAAATTAAAGTTGATGAAAAAAAAAGATGTAACATACGAAGATTAGATTCCTGAATCCGATCAAAGATGTAATATAATTTAAAATATCGTATCGCCAATTAAATTTGGCCTGAAAAGGTAATTCTTTATCCAAAAATTTAACAAATAAAGGACCAATAAATAATGACATTGTTAGACCTAAAGGAATAAAAAATGTGTTTAATATGTGGTATGGATGGGTTGGCAGTGAGAATCCAAGTAGTACCAAAGTTGTATATATCTCTGATAAGATTGTCTATTGAAATGGTTTTTTATTAAAAAAAGAAACATTGTTTAAATTCGAGCTTGTAAATAAAAAGAAATAAATATAAATCTAAAAAATTTTATCTACCATTGATTCTTTAAATCCTCCACTAAAATGAATTAAAAGCCAAACTCCAATGAATGAAATTATACAAGTGGTAACAACACTTATCACACGATTCATGATAACATGAGGGTGATCTTTTGTTAATCGAGGATTATTGCCACCAATTCTCGTTTTCTTTGAAAAATATAAGCCTCCGACGAAACATAAGGTAAAAAATATACAACTAAAAATTGCGTGTGAAGGTGATATGATAGGACCGATACTGAATTTTATAAGATCAAGATTAACTCCCATGTTTAAAGATTAAGTAATGATGAATGATTGTGTTATTTTACAAAAAAAAAAAAAAAAAAAAAAAGAAAAAAAAAGAAAAAAAAAAAAAAAGGGAAAAAAAAAAAATGAAAAAAAAACGAATTTGTTCGATTATTCAGAAACTATGGTATCACCAGCAATAAATTAAGGCACGTGAAAAATTAACTAATTTTGTGCACATGACTGTAATCAAAGTGGACCAATAAAAAAATTCACCTTATTAAATTATACATAATCAATGAAATTATTATAATTATTATACAATAATAATAAGGTTTGGATTTGAGATTTTGTGTAATATTCGGGGTCCTGCCGGGGACTGTCATCTATGGACCCGTAACTGTCAAGGACCAGACCATGATCAACAAAGGTTGAAAGCTTGTCCTGGCAAAAGCAATTTGGTGGCCCGACAGAAAGATTCAGAAACGAGTTTCTAACATAATAAATTCGTAACTTCTTTTCTGGGTGTGAGGCTTAAATACTTGTACCTTGTTTCTTTGAATTTGGATTAAACGTGGGATTTTCATTTAAGAAAAAAAAAGTTTATTTGTTATTCAAAAATTATTACATTGTTTGAATTATTAACAATACATATGGCGTAAAAAAAACATTCTTTTTTTATTCAAATATCACGAAATTCTGCTTCAACAATCGGAGGCTTTTGCTGATCTACAGGAATATAAATGATTTCTCTAGTATTTGGAAAATACATTTCAATATTCTTTACCATGATATCATCATCACGCTTTGAGATCCCTTCAACCTTTACGAGAGCCTTCACATCATTATGAAAACCAAAATATTCAATACTAAAAATAGTTTCTTTTTGTCCTGTTGATCCAAATACGACAGATTTAGAAGTAATCGAATGTGGATTCGAAAATCTAAAATCATAACTTAAATGAGCCGATTTAATTTGATCTATGGATTTATAATATAATTTATCGATATTTGATCGTGTATTTGTCAATGATGTTGGAATGAAACTGGAAAATTGATGTCTTCTGATATCAATGGTTGGAATTAAGTTATCCAGTAATCTTCTTAGTAATTTATAAGTGCCAAATGCAACCGCCCCATTTATTATAAAAATAAATATTGGTTTGAAAAAGAAAAATGTTAATGCCGCCCCGCTAAATGCAATCATTTGTTTTAACACCCTTATGGGTGGTTTATAATGCCTTAAAGGTGAATAGGATGATTCTGAACGAGCATATGAAAATGCATAGGGACGATGAAAAAGAGATCGAGATTTATCTTGATAAAGTAATTGAGGGGTGAAGGATGTTTTATTGCCGAATCGATGACGAATTGTTGATGATGGTCGAAAGGAGCAATGGTTTGCGCGAAAAATTTGTTCTAAAGAAAGTAAACTAGTGAAAAAAAAAACAAATTCCATCAAACTTTAATATGTTTAAAAGAAATAAATACCATATTTTCTCAATGGAAATAACCGTGGACTTTTATGAGTTAACAATCTAAAGTTCATGATTTCTTTTTGAAAGAATAAAACGGTTGAATTTTTGATTATCGAATATAATCAATCATATCCTTAAATTCACGTGATTTTCATACTCGTCATTTGTTCAAGTGTTCAGGTATTTTCTATTTATAGTTTATTAAAGACATTCTTTTTATTGACATAATGGATTTCTTGGCACATTTACAAATTATGTATATATATATATATTAGTCCAACTGTCTCTTTTTTTTTTTTTTTTTTTTTTTCATTCCTTATATTGAGCTTTAAAAGCTTCGAAAATAAAATAAAATTCTGTTAGACCTCCATTAAAACCACAACTCTTTTTTTTAAAAAAATTGTTTGCTTTTCACAAATTTCAAATTTAAAGAGTCAGGTTTTGATAATCTGACGATCCGGTTACTTGTAATTATAAATAAACGAACGCACGCACATATATTTCTATATATTCTTAGAATAACATTTATTTTTTTTTTAATAGTTATTTTTAAGCTCTTATTTATTGTATATAACATTTCAACATCATCGTATCAAATAAAAAAAAAAACAAATAATAATAATAAGGTGAAACAAAAAACATTCTATGTAAGCTAATTTAAATTTTATTTTATTTATATATTTATTTTCAAGTCATGATAGTTTCATTATTAACATTTTTCATTTATTAATGATGTATTTCGTACAATCAGCTAGCGATTGATAAATGACAGTTCAATCGCGTGTATTCCAAACATCAGAAGAATATTTAAACAGATTAACCACTCGCAATAATTATCGAACAAATCTTGATTTAATTGAAGGCGGCAATATGATGCCGTCAACAACGTCAATTCGTGGCAAACCAGATTATTTTTCAAGATCCAATCATCTTCACGAATTACCTCGATTTAATAGGGGAGCGAATTTTGAAAGGAATTTTAATATACAAAATGCCATATTGCGAAGAGAGAAAATCATTCGTCGCGGGTTATCCTTGATCATTTTGGCCATGACAGTGGTTTTCATGATATATGTTTGGTTCTCCCCAATTGAACAATATCCAAATAATAATAACAATAATAATTTTTATACTTCACACTCACCTTCATCAAATTGGCCTATAATACCTTCTTCATCTTCAAGTGAAGAAATTCACCTTTATCGTATCCTTGGGAATGATCTTCCTCCTAGGCATAAAGCCGGTCAAGTCTTACAGAATGTGAGATTTATCTTAGAACATGAACCAAAATTTCCTAATACAAAAAAATGGTGGATTTTAAATCGTATAATTGACAATGAGTACGAAAATGCCTTAATAGATTTATTAAAAATGTACGATCAGGATTATGTTAGAATACCTTTTATAACTGAAGAATATTTGAAGTTTGATTTTAGACTTGAAGATTTTCCTGAACCCGATTTTTTTCATTCATATGAATACATGAACTTTTCCAAAGTCGCTAAATTAAGAACCATCGATTATGCTTATCATGATAAAAATATATATGCCATGAATAATAACGGAGGTAGAAATGCAGCATTAGCACACGGAAAATCACAACCCAATACACGTTGGATATTCCCATTTGATGGAAATTGTTACTTAACGACGAACGCATTCTCAGAAATTATATCACAAATTGAACAATGGGGAAAAGATTATAAATATTTTGTAGTACCGATGGCTAGATTATTGAATAATACTCAATTATTGATCGGTCCCGATATTAGACCTCAAACTCCTGAAGAACCACAAATTATATTCCGTCATGACGCCGAAGAAAAGTATAATGAAAATATGAGATATGGTCGAAGATCAAAACTGGAAATGTTATGGAGATTAGGCGTACCATCTCCGCGAAAGATGTTAAATAAACCTCCGGTACCATGGGAATCTCATGATGCGCCATATTTCTCTCCTCCCAAGAATAAATATAAAATGATAGGTTGGGTATTTCGATTATTTTCGGGTCAAGCATCACAAGAATTACATAAAAGGGAGGCTAGCGCGTTGAGAGCTTTTAATAGATTGTTGGCCATTCAAGATTTTTTGGATGGGATTGATGAGAAGATCGCGAGAAATGTACAAGGTTTTGATCCCAGTCGTTTATTCTTGTACGATGAGAAAGCGTTAAATCAAGCAAGGTTACAATATTGGGGAGGTGATGAGGAGATCGCAAAAGTTGTCGAGTTCATGTTAGATAGAGCGGACACAATGAGTTTATCAGCTGCCGATTGGTATTCTACTTCTAATGGTTTACCAGTTGATACAAGTACTCAAGTAAATTTCTTACAGCTAAAAACCGACACTTCTCCGGCTTTATTGGAAGTTGGAAAAAGCGAAGTAATTGATCAACAACATAAGAAAGATGGTGAGAAAGTACAAATTAAATCAGATGATTCTGCTTCGATTGAACAAGATGTGATGTTGGACGAAGAACTACATTCTGTTTTAACTTCAATTGATACTAATACCGAGAATGGAATCGAATCACAACGATCAAGTAATTCAAAAGATTCTAATTCCAATGAGGCAACATTGTCTGAAGAGAAACAAATTGAAAAATATGTCGGAATAGTTGAAGATGAATTTGGTCAATATACTTCAACGACGCCAGTTCGATTACCGGAGGTTTCAACATCAGAACTATTTGAAAATATAACAACGTTGGCATTTGCACATCATTTTTCAGGGAATGTTCATTACTCTCGTTGGGCAGCAAACTTAATTCGTACATTTTTATTGTCCTCATATGGCGTCGGTGAACAAGATGAAGTGCAAGTCACGGCGTATAATACAGACTTTGACGCTATTAATGATGAAGGTTATAATTTTCCAAATCTTAATAAGATACCGAGAGCCGTACCGAAATTTAATAAAATAGGTTCAACGTTTCCAAAAGATCTTTTAGAGACGGATCCAAGTTTCTTTTTAGATTCTTGTAGGTTACTTTATCGCGTTAGAGCTCTCACACATAAAGAATTCACCGAATTAAGACGATTTGCTTCGATTTGGTTAGAAAAATTGATAAATAGTCCTGAAGGGATTGAAAGGTCAAGAAAACCCGATCATAGGGGTACTTTATATGATTTACAAGTAACTTCCTTAGCTGGCTTTGTTGATGATGTAAGATTATATTTGAGGATTGTTAATAGGATGAGGATGAGGATCGGCAAACACTTTTATATCGCGAATGATGCATCGTTATCTTCTCAGATGACTCAACCTTATGAGATCATGTTTGTCAAGAATTTAATCGACGAGGGAAAAATCTCACCAACACATTACGATAGTGCTACCTTCAAATTCACAACATTAAATTTACAATATTGGATGATATTAACACGTCTGGTACAAAATGTAGGGGTTGGTTTGGATTTATGGCAATACACCTCAAAGGACGGTCAAAGGTTAAGTAGAGCAATGATGGGACATTTAGGCAAACATGCTAAACGATTAGATGATTTTTCATTAAGAACGTTAATACATGTAGCCCAAGCTGCTCATCAAGCGAGTGATACTAGAAGAGGGATTTGGCATGAACATGGTGATGAGCATGATTATTTTCAACATTTCTTAAAAAATATAGGCGGTAAAATGAAATTAATCGATGATGATTCTATAAGTGATGATGAGATTATGGAAAGGAAAAGAATTGATAAATCTGTTGGGTTGGGTAATAGAGCTAGGCAAAGAGGTATACCTCCATTTTGGATGTTTGGTGTGGCATGAAGAAATTAAAAATAGAAGTATTATTATATGACTTAATATTATTTTTTTTTCTCGATAAGAGTATATCATCTATTTTTGTTGTACTTTTTTTATTTTAATTTTATTTATTTATTTTTTTTTTTTTGCTTAGACAGCTTTTAAAAACATGATACATTTTCTGTTTCATTATTTACTTTTTATTTTTAAAACGGTGAACTTTATTTCATCGAACCGGGATGAAATTTGAGATTTCTCGCCCAATCTAATAATTAAAGTTAAAACGGCATTCAAAGACATTCTTAAGGCATGCGCATTCCAAAAAAAATATATAAATATTTAGAATGTTTTATTATACATTTTTAGAAATTATTTCTATTTATAAATTTTTAGGTTATTTTTTTTTTTTTTTTTTTCTTCGCATTCTTATTTATATATTTATATAATTTATATACATATACATCTATAATATATATATATATATATATATTTTTTCAAAAAAACAAAGCACATTAAATTATATATAAAGAATGGATTTTAAAAAGTGCATAGTAATAATCTTATACCTTTGCTTAAAAGGGGTTATCGCAAATAAAACTTTTGTATACGTTGTTTTGGATCTTCCTCCTTTTGATTCACTACTTGATAACGAATCTCGAAATCAAGATCACGCGGGTTTTCTATACTTTTTTTGCAATCAATTGTTCCATTAATTATTGTACCTAGTAGAAAATAAACGTGGATTAAACGGTGAAATCACATCCTCCCTCCAAAAAACAAATCATTAGTCTATACCTTTTTCAACTTTTATGCTATGCTCCAAGAAAAAAATGGTTTGTCTCCAATGAGTAACTTCACCTTGGGGGCCTGTGGTAAAACTTAAAACCCCTTCAATTTTATCATCAATGTTCTGAGATGATGGAATTTCACGATCGTCACGTGTAAACCATGTGTCAAAATATCCCAAGAATCCATGAATATAACCATCTCGAGTGGACACCAAGGTAAATGGAGACGTAAAATCTAACTGGACTTTATGGATTGTATGTAGGGGCACATCCTTAACAGGCACGACATTTGTAATTATAGCCTGCGATTTCACATATTCTACTATGACCGAAGTTTTTATGGGAGATTTCATGGCCGTCATTTTAAACCCTGCGATCAAATGGGATTAGATCATAATAACATTGTTAATACTTGTATCAGAGCTTCTTAAATTTCTTAAATATGCCATGAATTTCCGTCATTAATACCGTAGACATCATTCCAAAAGTTAAAAGTGTCATTGAATAATTCTTCATCTTCAATTGCTGTTAATAAAAGACGACAATGACTGGGCGCAACTAAAATTTTTTTTTTTAAAAAAAAAAAAAATGCTTAGAACCCTGTCATTTTATAGTATTTCCTTGGTATGCACATATAACTTACGAATGCCGCCTGGTGCCAGCCATTTATCACGCGCTGCTATCACCGAGTCCAACATAGCTTCAAAGAATAAGAAATACCCCATCCACTCGGAAATTATTATATCTACTTTTTGTACAGGAAGATTCACCTCTTCGACCTTTCCATTAATTAATCTAAGTAACATCTTCAATTAATTTAAAAAAAATTATTTCAATTGATTAATTGCTTAAATGGATGCAAACTTACGTAATTATATTATCCAATTGATTTTCTTTTACAATTTTTTTAGTTCTTTCTATTATATCCGACTTTTCCACGGAGATAACTTTATAAAAGAGATTTTATAAAAGGTTCTATTCTTCATTTAGAACGCTTTTTTTTCTTTTCTTTTTTTTTTTTTTAAAAGAAAAGAACATACCTTTGGACGCGCCCGCTTTTGCCGCAAACATCGATAATATACCAGTACCTAAGGAGAACATATTAATAATTTATTAATTTTAACATAGATTTGGTCGCTTAACAGCAAATAATACCGCATCCGACATCCAGTACAATCTATATTGAAATTAACATCAAGAGCTATAAATATAATGTAAATGAAGGAAAAAGTTTTACCAATACGACAGAAATTTTAAAATAAGCATAAAAAGCAAACCTTGTTTTTGAAGATGTCTTTATTTTCATAAATAAAGTCTCGGTAACTTTCAGTGCGAATTCGGTCTTTTAACATTTCTTCGTGAATATCTAAAGAAAAGAGAATTGATTTTCACTCTTTATTACTTAAAAGATGACAAAGACCTTTCAAGAAAAAAAATTTTTAAGATGTCATACCGTTTTTTGCATAAGAGTTAAAATAATAATTTGTCCTATCTTCATAACAGCTTGATCCTTTTAAAGATTTTGTTGACCGTTCGCTACAAACAAACAAAAAAAAAAGGATATTAACTTGATTTACGCGTAATAATTTTGCACAATTTTAAAATATAAAAATGAATGTATCTTCTGACCTTACTAAATCGGAATAAACGTCAAAGAAGGATTCTTTGACCATACTACGATATTCGTCGAATTGTGATTCAATGGTTTTAAGCCTTACTTCGGTGTTAAAAAGTCGTTCCTCTGAAAGACGAAGCTTTTTTAAAAGTTCATGTTCTAAAGGCGTGGTAGGATCGACGTCAATACTTTGATCTTGACTTTGTGAACCCACATCTTTATCAAAATCATCATCATCATTTTCTGCATCATCAAAAGCTGTAATATGTGCAATTACAAATTAAAATCAATATTACAACTAAGTCATATTCTTTATGTATGGTACCATATAATAAGGGATCTCCTTCAAGTGTTGGTTTAAGGTAAACATCATCGTTGAGGATCTCTCGTATATTTGGTATAGTAATTTCGGATTTTTCCAAAACCTGCATAAAGATCAAATCCATTGTTAATGACAATTATGTTGTTTTTTTTTCATTCTGATGTAAAAAGTTACCTGCTGGCGAATATAATTTATCAGGCGAATGCATTGATAAAAATCGAGTTCTAAAATGTAAATTCATCAGAGATCAAAAAATTTTTATAAAAAGTAAGAATTCGTATTCAAAGGTTATGTACTCAATTCTGTACGCGTTTTTTGAAAATCAAATCCGTGATGACGCGAACAATGGCCAAATAAGTTGTTCGCCAAAGGGAATAATTCATCACAAAATAAACATTTAATGTCCTGTTGATCTCCCTCTTCTTCCTCCCAATCATCCCAACGCTCATCTTTAATTCAAAGGGGAATCAGTAAATAATAATATATGATTTGACCAAATAATTATCATAGCGTATACAGTTATCTTACCATTCGGATCGTATTCTGATTCACTATATTCTGAGTCCATTGTTGTTCCAACAACGTTTGTATTTAAAAAATTTCGAGATAATCTGATTCAAAAAATTTGAATCACGCTATCTCGTCGATCAGTTACACAAAGATCGCCCCGATGGCGGTGTTACGTAAACAACTATTTTTGAGAAAACACTGGACATTATACTTATTTATTATCTATCAATATGGAACAAGATTCAACTCCAAGAAAAGACTTAGTTCGAATTGACGATCAATCACTAAACAGTTCCCCAATACCAAAGCAAGAAGTTTTGGATGAGGATTCATATACAGAAGCTTTAAGCGAGATCATTAAGCGAGATTTTTTCCCTTCTCTTTTAACTCTCGAGGCACAACACGATTATGTGGACGCTTGGAATACAAATAATCCCGAGCTTATTAAGGAAGCTACTCGTAAATTAACTGAATTAACGACTCCTACGGCGAAAACACCTGGTATATTGCGTATATTGCTGCTTATTCTAAAAGTTGTCATTTACCGTTTAAATAACAATAACTCAATCAATCTTTTAGCAACACCTAAAACTGCAACCGTAGTACGTGGAGAATGGGATACACCAATATCATCTAGTGGAACAGACGTTTTTAAAAAACCATTGCCCAAAAAATACAATGCCAATTTATCCTTGGATGCATTTCAAGCAAAATACACTAGCGAAGATAATGCTTCATATCCTTGCAATATATTATATTTGCATCTCTTTATTTATTATCATTTAAATTTAATTAGCATTATCATAGTTACTTTTATTATATATTTCCTCCTTTTTATTCCTTAACCATATTTGACCTCACCTTTTCAGAAATAATGAAAAAATCTAATGAACAACAAAAAGAAAAATATAAATGGATGTATGAAAAAGATGATCAACTGCTGTTGGAAAATAACAAGGATGAGAGGAAAATGATTGAAGGGCCTGATCAGTCCAGAAATGCTGGAATTGAAACATGGAATTACAAGGTAGTTTAAATTTAATCCCTTTTTAGCTTATAAATATTCTGCTACTTTACTCTTTTTTTTTTGAAAAACAAAAATAGGATTTTTAATATATTTTTGCTTTAAGATTCGCAATTCCCTCATGTTTTATCCAGAAGGTCATGATAAAGGAGCAGTCGAAGAAAATACACGGTGCGCACCCAAGAAGATTGTTCATCATGCTACAAGGTTTGAATCTACAGAAGAAGCGGTAAATTTTTTTTTAAAAGAAAAGTTTTTTCCTCCCATTAAACGTACTCATTTCCGTTTATATTAATTATTCTTTAGTCGATCACAAGTCATGCAGCAGCGACCGCAGCCGCAGCAGCCGCCGGTGGTATCGATCTTGATAGTATGTTGCTACTCATTTTATTAATAGTGATTGGTATATTATTATAGATTGTTAAACAGGATATATACGTTTATTATTAGGTAGTAGTAGCGCGTCTGAAACTCCCACAGTCGGCGGTTACAGTTTTGTAACTGCTACACCTTCTCCGAACCCTTCACAAATTGACAGCTCGGAGTTAATGACTTGGGGTATGATAGAGGGTACTCCGTTATTGATCGGAGGAGATCAATCACCAGGTATGTATTTTATTCCTTTAATATACACTTCTTTTGTTGAGATTTTTCCTTTCCTAAACGAAAACCATCATTCAGATGCCGAGTGGAATATTATAATAGCTTTTAGCATGGTAATTTCGAATAGAAAGAAGTTTAAATGGAACATTATTTAACTTTAAAGAAATAAAAAAAAAAAAAATTTCTTTTTAATGAAATTGAATTGCAATTTTATTAAACATTTTTTGATTATATTTTAGGTCGTGCTTTTCAATTACCACCTACACCACGCAGAGAAATCATTGGTATGAATCTTTCAAGTAGTGCTTCGCGGAATTTACGCAAACGAAATCTCTCTATGAGATCACCAAGTCCATACTCTACCCAAAGTCCCCTGACAAAGTATGCGAGAATATTGTTGCTGCTTCTTGTTGTTGTTTTTGCGTGTTATTTATTCACGTCTTAATTTATTTCTTTAAAACAGAATTGCTAGTCCAAGAGAGCGTGCTTCATTATTATCACCAGCTGCACGAAAATTATTGCGTAAATCGAATTTGCCAAAATCGGTTGGTGTGGACGTCCAACTTAGAGCTTCTTATGCTGCGTCACCAAGAAGTAGAGGTAATAATATATTGGCATTATTACATACATCATTTCGAATTTGCTTAGCTAATTTACACTTTACTTTAAAACAATTATAGTTCCCGTCACACCTTCAAAACTAGTCACGCCTACATTCAATTCATTCCCTGACAAATTTGATGTAACTCCCAAAGCAAAGACTGATGAGCCTTCTGAAAATTCAATAAAAGACGATAAATAAGGCCAATTATAATTGTATGGTACATGTTATATTTAGATTTATTTAGTAGTAAAAGTAGTAGAAAGCGTCAACTTTCAATTCCACACAAAAACATTTTTTTTTTTTTTTTTAATTACCACTTATTGATATATACCAATGTTAAAAATAATAACTATTTAAGATTATAATTGATTCAATATATTTGCAACCATCCAATTAGATGTATTTCCTTTTTTTATACAATATTTGATGGGAAAATTAAATATAACGATCATCAAAATTAATAAATACAAATCAAAATTTTTCTATCAATTAATTTATATTACACAGATATTAAGAAAATATTTCTTCCTATTCTAATCCAATTTCTTTAAGAATTTTTGTTAAAGTTTCGGGATCACGATATCCTAGATGACCTGAAGTTAATTTAGTAATATCATAATTCTCAACTCTATTAAAATTTACGGCGTGTAATCCTGCGATATTTAAATCTAATGAATGCATTCTATATATTAATCCAAGTACAATATCATTCGTTGCATAAACATTAACAAATCTACGATTAACTACACTTAAAGCATCTTTCCATTTGGAAGATTGTGTAGATGTAATTGGTGCTCCAATTAAAACAACTAAATAATATAAATTTATTTTAAATAAAACTGAAATTTAAATAAAACAGGAGAAAATTTTATTCTTACCTGTGTCAATCAATCCATATTGTTGATTCTTTGCTAACTCAAGTAAACATTGCCAAATAACTAAAGCACCAAGCGAATATCCAATCTAAAATACAAGTAAATTAATTTCTCTCCCTATATTTTGATTTTTTTTTTAAAAAAAAAAAGTATACAATTACCAAAACAGTTGGTCTTTTTCCTTGAACTCTTTCAATCAAGACATCTGCTAAAATTAATCCGGCTTTCTGAGCACGATCTGCACCCAAAGCCCATGGATTATCTATCATGTCTCCAGCCTTCATTAAAGCAGCCGGTATTAGCAAAGCACTTGCCAAGGTAGCAAATACTGTTTGTTGTATGGCTGAATTTGCTGCCACCTTAACAGCGGATTCTGCTATAAATCTTCGAAATGCACGTCCGAGCGATCGAAGAATTTCCGTATCAAAAGATAATGCGAATGTATCACCAAAATTCAAACTATTTTGAAAAACTGAGAGCCAAGCAGTACTTGGTTCTTCATTGTCTTCCGAGAGATACCCGGAAATAACAATATTCACCTGCGAATTACAAGACATTTTTATATATTTATATTTATATATATAAAACGAAGCTAATTTATAAAGGATACATACATGAAGTGAAGGTATGAGAGGGAGAGAATCATCTTGTGTAATCCTAGTAAAAGCAAATTCTTTAAGACCCCGAGTCCTCTTGTGCATTTTGTACCCTATGTAAATTGAAACATACCTAAATAAAATGAATCTAAAAAAAGAAAGTATCTTCATAAATATTGACATACCAGCAAGTCCACCTCCCGCAATTCCAAATAAAGAAGTCATCAAAACAACACTAGACGCAGCTGTAACAATAATACTTGCTCCGGTTATTGCACTTATACCAGCTGCTACGAGTGGTGCAGCTTCCTTGACAAAATAAATATAATATTTTTAATATTTTTATTTTGTTGCAAAGAAAAAAAAATAAAATAAAATAAAGGAAGGAAGGATATTATTAAGTACATACTACCAACCTATCCCACCGGTTAATCCAATAGCTGTAGCACCAACGACCACACCAACTCCGGTGGCCATCCATCTCCATGCTTTCTTTCGTTTTTCATGTTTATTTAAACTTTCGGATGCGCTATTACGTAATCCTTGCATTTCATGATCCTCTTGCGAATCATTTTTTTCAGCTTCCAATTGTTGTTGTTGCAAGAAATATAAATTCTGTGCAAAAGATTTCTCCAACGATTTGACAGTATGCGAAGAAATATCTAGATTAAGAGCGAGCTTAAATAAAATTGCTCTTGCCCTGGAATCATATTCCGCTGGCATAATTGGTGTTGGCAGCGAAGAATCGGATGATGAATCATTGCCAATCGCACTTGATATTGCGTTATCTAGTTTTTCTTTTAAATTTAACATTTCCTCAGAATTATTATTATTTGCCTTTAGTTTCTTATCAACATTTTCCAAATTGGAAGGTGCAAGTCCAAGACAATTTAAAAGCATGTCGGAAATTATTTCATCCTGGATGTCTTTTTGTTTTTCATCATTTAATTGTTTTTTAAAAGAAGAAGACAATAAGTCGATTGCCAATGAAATATTTCCCGCTTCATTTGGCATCTTTAATAAAACATTTTGTTCTACTATCAATGTGATTATATGAAATTAATTAAATTATGAACGATTTCATCATCAATGATAATGATCAAATTTTAATACCTTTTTCATCGATGGTAAAATGACGGAAAATACTAGCTAAAAATCTTCGCTTCCAAACTTCTTCAGCGTTATTATTTGACCATGAAGTCTCATTTACGATGTAAACACATAAAGCAGCTAAATCGAAACGCTGAGTTGAAGTCTAGAAAAGGAAAAAAAAATTAACGAATGGATAATTTAAGTAAAAAGTCGTTACGAATTTAATTACCCAGTTTTGACTGTAGGTTGGTAATTCTGACATTGGTTTAAGTTCTTTTTTTTCCATAATTGAGTCTTTATGCCACACTGTTGGTTTTTTTTTGACAGCTGTAAGCTGTACATATGTGTGGGAAAATATTACTTTAAGGCGCTGCACAGGAATTAATTTTTTTTTTTTTTTTTTTTTTTTTTTACAAATTCTCGATCAAAATAGTTAGGGAAATTGATCTGCAAAAATTTATCATTGTCATAATGAAACAACAATGGAATCCAGAAATGTCTAAACAAAATTTAAATTATTTAGAAAAAATTAAAACTCATCACTATGGTCATACAAGAAATAACTATGAATCTGAAAAATTAAAGAAATATATGTAAGAATTCACTACTATATTTATTTATTGTTGTTCACATCTCCAAAGACACTTTCAAAGAGGAGAATGATCTTTTTCATTTTTTTTGATTTCAGGGGTTGTGTAATTCATCATCAGATCAATTGGTAATACACTAGATGTAATGTTGTACAGTTTTGAAATAGGTATTACAAACTGATACACATATTATTAAAACGTAATATTAAAATTGTAAAGAACCTTTTTTGGTGCAAAAAAAAAACCTTGGATGATCGGCTTCGGGAAAATTGTAATGTTAAAAACAATTTTGCATTATAAATAAATCACTCATTTTTTAAATTTATCTGGAGCTCTAATTTCTTTCTAGTTTCTTAAGTAAACATACGATATTGAAGAAACAGTACTTTCAAGTATATTTTTGTCTAGAATTTGGTTATATATTTATACAAATAATTAAAGCGAAGATATAATGTCCGCAATTTCTTCATCTACGCATTCTACCCCTTCCTCCAATACTACTACTTCAACACTCAATCAAAACGTTAAAAATAATAAAATTGAAACGAAAGATGGTTTAACTACTTCTACTCGAAACAATTCTGTCGGAACTTTTCCAGATTCACTCGGTGATAATGTAGAATTTACTACTTCTCCAGTACCCTTAACGCCCAAAGAAAATTCAACTAATCAACAACCATTTGGTAGTATTAGCAGTAACTCGAGTCAAAATGCAGATAACCTTTCCAAGTCTCATGTCATTGCACCCAGTTCTCCTAGTCAGCAGCAACAAAACTCAACTGTTTCAAATAAAAATAAAAAAACCGAATTTCCATATTTTAAAGTTGGAATTAGTGAAGATCGTAACAAGAGATATAGGAGAACTATGGAGGTAAAATGCAAGATTTACATTAGTTAAAGATAATACCATAATACTCTTTATCACATCATCAAAGACAGAAATTTTTACATCTTTTTTTGATCAAAGTTTTTCTAAAGCAGGGATCCTTGTCATTGTCTCAATTAAATATGATCTTATGCCATTTCCCTCGCTAAATTTCTTTTTATAGGATGCTCACTCGTTTTTCTATGATTTTGCCGGGATTGAAGGTCAAGGATTTTTTGCTATATTCGATGGTCATGCAGGAAAACAAGCGGCCGATTGGTGTGGAAATCATTTTCATGAGGTAAAGAGCAAATCCTAATGAAGGAAAGGAAAAAAAAAAAAGAAAGAAAGAAAGAGGGAAAAAAGAATTTACTTATTATTATTTTAACCACGAATTTTATGATTATGTGACTTTATGATATCTGGGGTATTATAGTCTCAACGATAGATAACGTAAGGCGTAAATAACGAAATTGATTTACAAAATAGTTGCTCAAAGTATAATATAATATATATCTTTCTTTGCTCATCTTTAATTGTTATTGTTGTTTTATCCTTCTTAATAAAATTTTCACAGACTTTCCAAGAAGTTCTTCTAAAAAATCCGACTCTTCCAATTTCAGAAATTTTTCACTTGACTTTTCTGCAGGCTGATAAGCAGCTCAATCAGAATGCAGGGAAGCATTCTGGATGTACAGCGATCGCTGCTTTCTTGAGATCCGAAGAAATAACGGAAGATGAAACTGCTAATGGTAAGAAACCCATTAGCAATGGCGTCGAAAAGAAACAAAAGGTATATTGAAGAATATAATTTGTCGCTATTTACATTTTCTAGTTATTACATTAAATATATTGATTATCAATTAGCGCGTATTGTATACTGCAAATGTCGGGGATGCTCGAGCCGTCCTTAGGTAATTTAAGTTATAATTTTCATCATAGTATTAAATAATTGATTCAACAATTAAAATTCTCCATGGATTCATTTTCTTAATTAGTCGCAACGGAACAGCCATTAGATTATCTTATGATCATAAAGGAAGTGATGCACAGGAAGCAAAAAGGATCGTCGATGCTGGTGGATTTGTTATGAACAATCGTGTCAATGGTACATATTGAAATTATTCTATAAAAAATAATAGTTTTTTTTTTTAATTCATAAATTTAATTTATTGAATGTTTTATGAAAGGTGTATTGGCAGTGACTCGTTCATTGGGAGATAGTACAATGAAAGATTTTGTTGTAGGTAATCCTTATACCACAGAAACCGAGATAACCGAAAATGATTCATTTTTGATATTGGCATGTGATGGGGTAAGTCATTATTTTCATATTGATTTTGACCGTTTATACCTTTACATATTGTTTATTTATATTCTTTTAGTTATGGGATGTCTGTGATGATCAAGATGCGGTAAACCTTATTAAAAACATTGATGATCCACAAATAGCAAGTGCCAAATTGATTGAACATGCTTTAACAAATTTTAGTACCGATAATTTGAGTGTGATGGTAATTAGATTAATGAGGAATTAATATTTTATTTTGAAACAAAAATATTATTTAATTGTAATATTACATTATATATATCGTGTTTGAATTTATCGTTTCTTGTGAATTATTAACTAGTTTGACTATATTAGTTAATATATTATCTTTTTATTTTATTATTATTTTATATATAATTTCATATTTATGTATGGTTTTGATATTTTATATATAATTTTTATATATATATATATTATGTAAAAAAAAAAAAAAAAAAAAAAAAAAAAAAATAAATAAATCAATCATGATAATCGTTAAAGAAACTTTTCTTTTTTTTCTTTTAATTTTAAAAAAAAAGAATTAAATTTATTATATATTTTTATATTTTATTATAAATAAAAATGAATATTATTCTAAATTATATATATAAATAAACATATATATATTTTTTTTAATATTAAATTTACTGAAAAAAAAAAACCCCCCCTTTTGTAATTTTAAACTTAAGAAACTATCCAAGATTAAATAGTAATAAAGAGAAAAAAAAAGGAAAAATATTTTTAATTGCTAATATCATTATTTCTTTACTATTATACTTATTATCGTTATTAAGTTGTTATTCTCGGTTAAGATGATTCTGTCGTAATTATTACTTCTGTCATTTGTGGTTCTTTAACTTGTTCTTTTTCATTTGGAAATGAAACATTTTCATTAATTTTAATAGATGGGACAGGTAAATTGGGTGATAATGATACTTGTGTATCTTCTTTAATATTATTATTTTCATTATTATTTTGTCGTAACGCATTTAAACCTTCATCACTATTATTAACAGTTATGACTTCTTTTATATCTATTCTTATATCACATTCACCAAGTGTATTATTATTATTTAAATCACCTGCTATGACCGTACTTCTAACACCCTCATTAAAACCATGTGTATTAATATCTTGTTTATTAACATAAGCACGCCTGCTGACCGAACTTTATTAAAAAGTAATCGTTAATATGCTTATTTTCGTTTATTTTTGATTAATTTAATTTTATTTTATTTTAATAAAAAAACTACACTAACCTTGGCGACATAGGTCTACAAAGAACCGAAAGACAATTCCTAAATACATTCCTATAGTCGAACGGGTTCCTGTTATTTCTCCTTGCCATAGGAACACGTATCTAAAAATAAAAGAAAATACAAATTAAACAAACACATTTATAAAAATTCAAATTGCTAACAATTGAAAAAAAAATTAAATTACTTGTTCATGCGTAGTCAAATTATTGCTAATTAAATACATGTGATAACCAGTTAGTCCACCTACAGACCACATAAGAACAAAAGATAATACAATTAACAAGAAAGTGTGCAATTAGTTAAGGAGAATTTATAATTAAAAAAATTACTATTTAGATAGATTGCTCCAAATAATAATTATTATTATTAATGTAAAAAAAAAAGGATATCTGACAGGTGCATCCATAATTGCATCCAGAAAATTGGAAGACTTTTTCATGAGTAGTAATAAATGCGCCAGGCAAAACCCTAAAACGTAGATGCATAAAATGGTAGCTGTTGCTATAAATGTGAAAAATGTCCTATAATTTCGTCGTCCTATACAATTATTTAACCAGATACAATGATGATCCTCATTCTCTAAAAGGGAAAAAATTTTTTTCTTTTAGAAATAAAGGGGAAATTAAGAGATTTTTTTTTTTTTCCTAAAAGATTCTCACCTACGCAATTGTCACATTGTCTACAATGACTACACCTAGGTGGTCTATAGATTTTACATGTTTCACAATATTTTAATCTAACAGTTTGTCCATTAATTCTAACTTCTTTTGGAAGTGGAAAGCTACGAGCTGGTTCAAAAACATCGATATTTGGATTATTTTGAGCATTTTCTGGATCTTCTACACATTCTGTTGGAGGTGACGGATCTAAATTTCTTGGAACTATCTATAATAAATTATTCCGTAATATCAAATAAATTACTAAGTTATTGTTAATAGCACTGATGATAAATTATGAAAATTTCATATATTAAAAAATTAAGATGAAACCTACACCTGGATCCGACCATGAAGTTCTAAGCATGCTAGTCACAGCCAACAAAAATAAATAAACAAATATAAATACCACCGCTGGTGACACTTGATGAAAAAGGAATGGACAACTAAGTTATAATTAAGAAAAATATATTATATTATTATAAAAATAAAAAAAAAATGGAAATGAAATGAAACGAAACAAAGATTTAAAATATAAACTTACGTAAATCCCATAAATAGCCCAGATGGAACTACAAGGGCAGAAAAGGCAACCAAAAAAGCGGGAAAATCCCTACTAGTCATTATCCTACCACCTAAAAAAAATCGATTTCTTCCAGGCCATACTTGATATAAACGTTGACCTTTATGATCAGTCGAAGAATGCGGCGACATAATTCGAGGATATTTAATATTAAAGGTAGGTTGTTTTGTTTGAGAAGAGTTAAATTTTTTTGATGACATCTCAGTAAGTTTAGTGTTCGAGGAAGGCGTATTAGGAGAAATATCAGAATGCTTAGAATAAGCGGTAGCAGCTGCAAAATCTTTCGATGATAGATCTGAATCAGCATTGAGAGTAGCTTGACGCATTAATTGTCTATATGATGAAGGTTCTAAAACTGGTGCCGGAATAATTGGCTCCAGAACTGAATTGATAACAGCTTGGGATAATTCTGTACTTCCACCTTCACCATTTTGTTGACGTTGTTGACGCCTTAAAAGTAAAGCACTTGGAGGTTTACTAAGTGATGTTCGATTAGTAGCGGAAGCATCTGGACTAAAAATATTATCAATCGATTGGTCGAGTGAAAGGTTATTATTATTATTGGAGGAAGTTTGTGATGAAAAGGCTGCAAGAGCAAGTGAGGAAGGTTGCTGTAAAAGAGAAACTTCATCTTCGGAGTTGAAATTCAAAAGCTGAGAATTTATTACGGAATTAAGTGTGGATCTATTATTGGTAGTAACGGATTGTGCACCAGGTGAAGGTGGTGTATTTGGTGAATTACCAACGACAGATAGTGCGGACTTTCTTCGTGATAAGGCCGTTATTGGTTTTCTTGGTGCAAAAAACTGCTTTGACGGTAAAATTCCAGACGCGTGACGCGATGCCCGCGCCTGATTATTCATATTTTAATAAAAAAATATTATTTTAAACGAATAAAAGTGATTTTAAATTCTAAATCAACCACGAGAAAGAAAATTGAAAGAAAAAAAAAAAAATTTCTTGCTACTTGAAACTACAACACTTTATTATTCATTACAATTGATTACGATAAATAAAATTTTTTAAAAATAAATTGGAGGGAAAGAAAATAAAATAAATTTGGGTAAATTGTTCTTGTAATTAATTATGATATTGAACAAACGCCACAGTAGTGGCTTGATATTATAAAAAAATACTGGACACAAAAATTTAAAGTGTTGCTTCACTACATGTTTTCCTTTATTTAATTAAATTTGATGTATTGTTTCCTATTTGGAACCCCTTGGCAATAATTTTATCTGTAGATTTTTCAACATTATAAGCTGCAAATCCGAACCAAATTCGTTTAGTTCTTTTAAAATATATACACATATATATATATCTAGAAGGGTCTGCTAATTTTGATGTTGTGAAATGTAATCGAATATCACACAGATTTTTTTTTATTTCTATTTATATAGTTTAGTAATACTGGAAATAAATTCAATATCTTAATTATATAATCTTCTAAATCAAGCCATAAGATTCAAGTTTAATTTTATATATATATATAATTTAACAATTATTTAATATAAGATATGCTGCAACAAAGTGTACATTTGATTTTGTGAGCTAAAAATGACTGAAATTGCTGATGATATTTTAAAAGAGTTTGCTTTAATATAGTAATATAACTGTAACTCATCAAAATTCATAAACTAAATTTTGATTTACTTTTTAAATTTGTATTAATATGATATCAAAATGTAAATTTGGTTGAGATAAATGTTTACTTGATATTATAAATTATAATGATAACATATTCCATATAGGATTATATTTATAAAAAAATATTAATATATTAATTTATAATAAAATCAAAAATTACAGTATAATAAAAAGTATTATTAAAGAAAAAAAAATTGCTTCATATGTTTTTAAATCAATGATATCAAACTTCTCTAGAAATATATAGATAAAAAAAATACTTATTAAATTTATCAATCTTTAAATTACTTTCTTACTTTTAATCAAAATCATCTCTTATTTTCTTTAACTTTAAGCAATATATTGGATTTGCTATTTTCTTAAAAATTTAATCTCACTTCAAGTCTTTGAATTTTATCTAATAATTTCTACCTTTACTTATTATATTAATTTTTTGAAATTTTTAAAACTTCTAAATAAGAACTAATTTTCTTTAGCACTGACCAGTTACTATTTCAAGTCTTTATTTTATTATTCTAATCTACTCACATAATTTTGTATTATTATTTTTGTTAATATTAAAGTTTTAATTGATTCATCTTTTTTTTAAATCATAAAGCAGTCTACTTTATTTCTCATAATTCAATTACAATTATTATAATGTAGTAGAATATCATCATTAAGAGTTTTTTTAAACTCAATACAAATATAAGTAATATTGTGATAATTATTGTTACTTATATTGTAAAATACTATTTTATAAATAGTAGTTAACCTTTTTTTCTTTTAGAAGAGCAGAAATTATAATACTATTTGTCTTCTTTTCTTAACTTATTAATTTAATATTAATTTCATGTTATTTATCCTTTTGTAAAATATAATTAATTTTTTTCAAGTTATTACTTTTATTTACTTAATTCTGTTTTTAATATTATTGATTAAAAGTTTGAATTTTCTTTTTTTCTTTAATAAGAATAACAGGTTTTAGAATTACTTATCAGATAAATATTTTTTACTATATTATAATATTTTCTAATATTTTTATTTTTCTTGAAGCTTTTTTTAAATATTATCTTTTTCTTTATTATCTAGCTAATTCAAAGATCTTTAAATAGTAATTAAATATTTCTTCTTTTAATTTTAATACTTCTTCTAATTGTTAAATTTTTTTATTTTCTCTTTTATTTACTTTTCATATTTTTGATTTTTGTTTAAATATTTATCAAAACTTTCTTAGTTTTAAAATTAATTATCAAGAAAATAATTTCTAAGATATTAGTAATTATAATAATTTTATTTGATTGAATTTTATCCTTTATATCCTTTTTTTAATATTTCTTTAATTCATTTTTATTAGTTAAAATAAATTCTCATAATTTCATTAACTATATCTATATCAGAATTATCAGTATAATGATTTTTACTTAAAATAGTAATTATTCATTATCTAATTACTTATTAAAATAATCCAAATTAACTAAAAATCAGATAGCTGATTTTAGGTCAATTTTGATATTATTTAAAGTTGATTAGTCATATTTTCAAATTATTATTTGATTTTTCAAATTATTACTAATTGATTTCAATTAGACATAGCTATTCAGCATCAATTTGAAACTTAAATTTAATCATAAATCAGCCTAAAATAAATATTAATTTAGCATTAATTCAGAATTTTTATTCAACTATAAATTAGTCTAAAATACTGCTAATTAATTCTAATCAAATAAGCAATTTAATTATAAATTAACACTGATTGATATTAATTAGATATAGTAGAAAATCTCTATTTTTTATTATGATAGAAAATAATTAGCAATTAATAATTACAATTATATCTAGTAATTAAGATCTTAAAAATCTTTTATATAATTAAGATTATTTTTTTAACTTTAACAATATGGTATTATTACGAGTTTTATTAAAAATTCATAATTTTAAATATACTAATTATTAAAATAAAAAGAAAATAAATAAAAAATCTATATTAAAATCTAGCTACCTCCTAAAGCTATATTTCAAGTCTATTTGAATCAACTAATCACTAATAATCCCCTTTAGGCACTCACTAAAACCATTTCTAATAAATAAACCTTCAATTAAAAAAAGACAAATAAAATGTTAATATTATAATACTTTTCTTTTAATTATTCATTAATCCCTTAATTACAAAAATAAATACTCTTCAAAATAAATAAACCTGAGATTAATATCTAAAAAAAAGGAGGTTAAAAAGATACATAACTTTAACAAGTTTCTAGCTAAGTTATCTAATTAATTTCTAATTACAGTGACCTTCTGACATAGAAGCACCTATATTACTAAGTTTCATCAGAGACTTTTTAATACTTTTAAACTTTTATGCTAAGATATCTATCAATTCAGATTACAACCACTGACAATCATTATATAGAGCTTAAATCACACAGTTGCAAAAACTAAAAAATTCTGCTAATATTAGCAAGCTCTTTGACATTAGAGATCTAAAAAGAATGTATTTATTTAAGAAAATAATAGGAAAATTATCACATATAATTAGTTGATCTAAAGTTGTTGTCAATTCTGATTATCATTTGAGATACCTTTTGATACTCACTTTTGTAGGCAAAAAGAAAAAACAGAAAAACAGAAAAAACAGCTATGAGAAGTGACGAAAAAAATATTTTAACAAAAAAATATCACAGTTTAGACTAACAAAAACTGTTTTTTAGAATAAAAAGATTTGGGAAGAACAAAAAGAGAAAGAAGTTTGAAAAAGAAATTTTATATTTTATTCATAAACTAAACTATGGTTGCTTTTAAACATACATATTTTTTACATAAAAATTTTTGGTTAAGTGATCATCAGAAAAAGTATATATATTTTTGTAATTATTAGATAATAAATTATTTTTAAAAATTAAAAATTGAAAAATTAATATATATTAATAATTATTAATTTTAAAAGTTTAAAATAATATCATTAGATACATTATAATATAATAAATCTAAAAAATTTTATTTTTAATTATTAGATATCAAAATATTTTAAGTTTTCTAAAATGATTTAGAAATAATTTTATATTTACAGTTTAAGGGATAATATATAATAATAATTTATATTATTATATATTGTATTTAAATAAAGAATATATTTATGATTAATTTGATTAATTTTATAAAGAAATAAGAATTTTTATTTTTTACATATCTACAGTTCCTTATGAAAAGAATGGTAAAAACATATTTTGATGATATGTACAAACTTTATTTTAATGTATATATATTTTTTTTATTATTTATAAGAACAATACTAACAACAACTTTTATATTATTAATTAATATTTAGTGTATCCTCCTTCTGTATTGATACATGCTTTAATTTAGCTTGGCATGCTCTTAATGCACTGAAGTAATATGGCGTTATCAAGATCGTCCTATTTCTGCCGGATTGTATTAAGGAATACATCGCAGGTAATATTTTTTTTTTTGCTACTAAATACTTAATCTTTTTTTCTACCTTTCCCTTTAATACAGCCCATACATTTTCAATAGGATTCAAGTCTGAGCTATATGAAGGCCAAGAAAGAACTCGTCTTAGAAGATATTTTTTCAAGTTTTCTTGAACATCATGTGAGGTGTGTTTTAGATCATTATCTTGTTGAAAGACCCAGCTACGTCTGTATAATATATCCACATTGTTATACAGATAATCATCTAAGATTTTTTAATACAAATGATGATCCAAATTTTCAGTAAACAAATGAATGCCGATTTTTTCTTTAGCACTAATCGCTGCCCAAACATGAACCTTAAATAGGTGCTTTACCATAGGAGCAATTGGTTCTGCATTATGAGACTATGCATATATGGTATTTCTAAACATCTGAAGTGTTGTTTCATCAGAAAAAACAATTTTTTTCCAGTTGTATCGCAAATGATCACGTATTTAAGACAAACGAAATTTTTTCGCTTTTTGGGTTAAGAGAGGAACCTTTCTTGGAAGAACAGAAGTATATCCAAGATTATTGAGCTCACAATGTATTGTATGTTCACTGACATTAAGATTGGGATCTTTTTCTTCCAATTTTGCCTTAAGTTCGCCTGCTGTAGTAAAATAATTATGTTGCAGAATTTTTTCAATATGGCGGCGTTGATTTGAAACCAATTTTCTTGGACAGCCAAAAGAGTGACCAATAGAAATTTTGCCAGTTTTATTTAGTAAACTAACATATTGTTCACATGTATGCAAAGGAATGCACATTGATTAGAAATTTCCTTTGCATTACGCACTTTTTAGTCCCAAAGTGACTTAACAGAATTTCTTTGTATTTTTAAAAAGCTTGGCATAGTTTCGGAAAGGAAATCAAAATAAAAACAAATAACAAATCTTATTTTTTTAATTTGTAATTCGCCAGAAATGGAAAGAATATGCATAATGTCGATCAGGGCAATTTTACATAATTAATTATAAAAAAACCGTAATTGGAAAAATTTCATGTAATACAAATTTCTGAATTAATGATAAAACGTACTAAATATGTATAATAAAAAACGTCACTTAAAATCTAAGCTATTTATTTTATTAAAAAAAATTTACACTTTATTTGACAGATTTCGCACAAACGCCTTAACGGCTCAGGATTATAGGTTTAAAACGTAAAATTACAAAAATTCAAAAGTGAAAAAAAAGCGAAAAAAGTGGTTTAAGCCCACTTAGACATCAAATATAGGTATTATGTGCAGTTTTTATTGTCATTTGGCCATAGCTTTGGCTATTGCTTGCTTGTGTTGGCGGGAGTACTGGCTAATCCAGTTTTCAATTATTTTCAACTTCAGTATATCACTCTCCTCTAGCTCACCTGTTTTTACTTTTTTTGTAGTGCCTCAAGCATTTCTTTTGCGGAATATCATTCATTTTTATGGGCGTCACCAGCATAGAAAAAACCTTTCAATAATTCCATTATTCCTTCAGGTATGTGTTTTCTGCCACCTTTTTTTCCATATTTCTGGTTTTCTTTTAAAGCCCAACTGACTTAAAAATAGTTGTTTCTAAAGAAATAACATATATCTGATATTATTATTGCAGGTTATAACGATATTTTTCTATTTTTTTTGAAGTAGTCGCATTCACTCATTTTCTTTTCCCTTTGCCTTTTTTTTACCTTTTCTTTCTTTGTTCTTAACTCTGTAATGTTATTATTTTCCTTATTTTCCATTGTATCAATTGCCTTTCTTGCCTCTATATAATAAAAATGATTAGTTGAATTTTATTGCAAGTTAATTTGCAAAAAAAAAATAATTTATTACCTGCTATTTTATTTTTTGTCTCACATGCAATATTTTCTCTCAAAATTGCAATTAACTCTTGCTGATTTTCTTTTTCATCATAAAATAGAGATCTTCTTTCTAGCTCTTCTTTGATATTATCCTTTGTCAACCTGTTTAGTTCAGCTATTTCGTTTTGGGAGTTATCGTTCCGATTTGTTGATGATATTGGAATTATCCATTTTGAATTTGGATTTGTAGGTGTAGAAATTGAGAGATTTGGTCAAAATTGCTTATCACCTTTCATTGATTTACAAATAGTGGAGAGAGAGAAATCATTCCATATTCCAAAGTTGGGAAGAGCTCTACCACGTACAAAACCACTAAATTCTCCTTCAACAGGCCACTGAAATTCGAACCAATTAGAAATACCAGTCATCACAGGTTTTTTTCTTTTTTCCTTTCGATCTAGTTCAATATTTGTAACCGTTGCTTTTCTAATACCTTTGATCACTTCTTCTATATCTTGACCTTCAGATATATCGTATCCTAGCCTAACATACCGTTTGATTGCATGAGAAATTTAGAAATAAGCCACAATAGAAGTTTATAAGTCACAGTTATAATTTACAATACAACTATCATACTAAATAACCTGAGCATGATATGAATCGATCGTTGTTTTGGCCTCTCCCGCCTCTAAAAAAATCCAACTTCAGATTTTCACATCATACCAGGATTTCCAGTTTGTAATCATAGCCATTAATTCAGCACAATGGTAGTGAGCGCCATTATCAGATAGGATTCTTACCCATTTTGGTTTTTTTTCAAATGAATTAAAGACAACTTCAAAACATGAAGCTGTAAATAACGCATCTTGAACTGTGTCTGAAGACCAATGATTAAAGGCTTTTATTTCTAATTCATGATTATTGGCTTTTGTATATACTAACATTGTATGTAATATCCATCCAGATTTTCCATAGAAATCTGATTTTACCTCTCGTGCTAATTTTGGCAAATCTTCATTTTATAATCTACGATTATTATAGCACCTTCTTCATCAAGAGAAAGCAAATTTGCATTAAATTGAGTGTTGAGGTATGTCTTGCGTACTTAATGAGATTAGTAATATTGAAGTTTTTTTCAATTTTCTATGATTCGCTCAAAATTATCTAGTATGATATAAGCTAATTGACAAAAAAATTCTGATACTTTGTTACATTGATCACAATTAGAAGAGTAGAGTTTAACACATTCTCTGAAAGCATATGAAAGACAATGCTCAAGACATTCAACGTGATAAGATCGTCCTAGGTAATCTATTTGAAGTTCTTTTTCATATTCATGCTTTAAATGCTGACGAACAGATTCAAGCTCTGTAATTAATTGATTCTAATAATGTATTTTTGAATATTTGTAATTATTGAGTATTTATTTTTATTTTATTTTTTTTATTAATTATAGCAATATAATTATAAATAAATAATACATAAAATAATTAGAGAATTAGTAATTTTTGTAATTTTGATGAACATATTTTCTATTTATTAAAAACTTTATAAAAACATATATTATAATACTACAAATTTTCATACCAAACCCCACTAAAATATTATTAAAAAAAATTATATTTACCTGTTGTGTTTTTTCACTGATTTTTTCTGTTATCAAATTCCTTAAATCATCAAATACATCATATCCGTAATCAGAACAGATACTAAAAATGTTGTCTGTTTCATGCCCTTGGGATACATCTCAAAGAATTTTTGCCACAATATTTCTTTTTGATCTTTTAGATATTTGAATGGTTTACCAGTTTTCGTATCCACCTTGTAGGAACTCAAATTTACAATATTTTTATCAGCAAAAAAATTCTGAAATTGTTTTTCCATTTCATCAGTAGTTCAGACTTGTGTAATTATAGGTTTATCTATTACTGCACATTCTGGACTGTTAATCTTGCAGTGATGTTTAGCTTTTGCTACTGTTTTGGAAGAAACCTGTTTATAATATAAACCATAATTGTAAATATAAATTAACAAAAGTGTAAGATGCATAAGGACTTAATAGTAAACATTAGTGTAAGTAATAACATCATTTACCTTGAGATTTTTTTGAAGTTCTTCATATTCAAAATTATTTGCAATAATTGACAAAATTCGTATCTTTCTATCATGGTCTGTTTTGTTCTCTTCTAATGATTTTTGAAAACATTTCCAGAATTGATTACTTGAATTAAATACATTAGTTAGAATAGCATTTAGAAATCCGCTATAATATAGAATTTCTAAGGTATTTTTATCCATCAATAGGTTTGAACTTCACAACCAAAATTTATACTAAATTTGGTAAAATGGTTGGTTTAATTTGGCCATAGAGATAATCAATTATTATTAACTAAAATACATTACATTCATTACCTCTGATTGATTCTTAGGAAATAGAGTAACTTCTGTACATCCAGCAGCCCTTAGCATTGTACGCCATGCTCGAAGTTCACGTTCATTATGCAAATAATTTGGCAGATATATTTTTTTTAGCATTCTACGTAATTCAATAATTGTACTTTTCTGTGTAAGCCAAATTTGAAATAATTGTTACCAGTTAATATTACTAAGTGTTCGTTTTCTCAAATTATAATTAAAAATATTATTTATAAGCACTTTATTATCCCAAAACATAGGTAAACATCTAGGAATTCATTGTTCATTAATAGTATTTTGTGTCATTAGATGCTCTATGCCAAACAATTGTGTTCTACGATATTTTTTATAATATCCTATATTTTGTCACGCTTCTGTTGAAATAGAACCAAAAAATATTGTTTCATGATCCTTTTGATGTATTGAAATTTCACAATTGTCAGGTTGAATTTTTTGAACATATAAAGCTCGTTTTCTCTTGTATTTACCAGTAAATGATGCAATATAATTTTTTATTGTTTTTTTTTATCCACAAATGCTAATATTTGTAATATAAATCATAATATCATTAACCTTAACAGTAAATGCCTAAAAAGGAATATTTTCTAGTGAAGCTTTCAATAATTCATTATTGACCCAACCTAAAACTAGTGGTCCAGAAAATTTCATCTTTGAATTAGAAAAAATTCGCTGGTATAAACTCGTTATCGCATAACTTGATACTGTTTCAACATCACTAAATTTACTGCCAGACTGGTACCTATATCCTGGCAGTATCTCACTATTGTCATTCCCTCTGTTATATGCATATAAAAGTATCTATTATTTTGTTCTATAACAGTTTCCCAGCCTACACGAATAGGATAAAGAAATACGCCTTCTTCTAATTTGCTGTCATCTCTTATAATCCACCATTCTCTTGAGTTCACTCTATAATGCAATCGGGGTACTATTTAGCCAATAAAAACTAGTTTTACGTCAAGTTTAGGTTGTTTATTCATGTTTACATGTTTAGATTAAGAACAGTTTCAGATTCTTGGTATTAACAAATTTTATTATTACTATTATTCCCGCTGATCATTATATAAACGTGATATTGATCTTTCTATTTCTCACAAATTGCGAATTAACTTACCTTTTTATTTCAGGTTTCAATGTCTGATTTAAGCATATAAACAAATGCCTAAATCTAGAAAGTAGTGAAACCGCAGCCTAAAATAGATGCAGTCTTCCACTGCTATTCTTTTCGCTGGGAACTGTATATAAAATATAAGGTATATTTTAAAATAGGTGACAAATAAAATTTTTTATAAAAAAATTTCTAAGTTTTCAGAATAAGCTGTAAAAATAAAACATATAGGAATATAATATATTATGATAAATAATCTCTAATCCTAATCTTAATCCTAACCTTAATCCTAATCTAATTCTATTTCTGCTTTAATATATATAAATATAAAGTATGTATTTTATATAAAATAGACAAAATACAAATTTTCAAAACAATAAAAATATTTTATAATAAAATTTAATACTTTTGCTAATTTATTCATCAGATGAAATCACTATATAATATATAATAGGTAACAAATAAAATATTTAGCAATAAAAATTTTCTGTTTCTCAATTAATTATTAAAATAAGAAATAGAAAAGTGTGATAAGTTGATATTATATGAAGTCAATCACAAAGAATTAATATTATTAATACTTTAATATTTTTAACTTCTTTAACATTTTAAATGTTATAAAATAGTTTATATATAATAACATTAGATATTGATCATTTTATAAATATAATTTTATATAAATAGAATAGAAAATTATTTCTATAAAAGAATAGAAAAAATAGTGATAACTCAATAATTTGAATTTAAGATTTAGAATCTAAGGTTAAGGATTGTTAAAAATACAATCTTTATAATAAAGAAATCTCTTTTTAAACTATACATATATTAAAATCTTTTAATGTATTGATTGTGTTTATTATTTTTATAAATTGTTAAAGTTAATTAGTTGTCTAAATTATAAACCTAAAATTGATTATAATAGAACTTATTCTATAGTAACTTTGTAGTTTCTCACACATATTCTCTATTATTAAGTTATTATTACTTTAGGTTTGAAAAATTGATTATAGGGTTAATAACGTAATAATAAATAAATTTTAATCCTAAATCTAATTCTAACAACCCTAATTTTATGCCTAAATTTAACTCAAAATAACTCTAATTTTATGAGTAGGTAAAATTTTACATATAATCACTTAGGTCTTATCTATATTTAAATACTTTATTATTATAATATAATATTTTTAATGATTCAAAAATGAAAATTATTTTTATTAAAATTAAAAAAAATATATATTATTTATATAATTATATAATATAATAATTATTAAATTTTACCTTTTTTTTTTTAATTAAAAAAAAAATAAATATAAAATTTTAAGAAAAAAAATTGATATTGAAAATTATTAACTAATATTAATACTATTGATATAAATAATAAAAATCTTTATATTAATATTATGAATGGCATTAAAAATATTCTTAAAAGTAATATAAATTTCAGGTAAAAGTATAAATATTTATTTAGTTAATTTATGAAAAAATAGAATTACCAATTTATAATAATAATGATGAAAGCATATTAATTCAATTTGTTGTTAGATAGAAGCATTAGTTAGATTATTTTTATTCTAAGGTGTATCAATATTTTTAAAACAAAAGAGATAATCCAATTTATACAGTATAATTAAAATTTTGAATCAAGTTAAGAATCAAGAAAGAGTTAGGATTCACAGCCATAACTTGCTTCATCCTTTTTTTTCAATATTTTCTTGATTCTTGTGGCTTAAGTTTAACCGAGTTTCGAATTAAAATTGTTATCAACTGACCAGTTATAAATGGATTTAGAAAGCGTTACTTCTAACTAAAAGGAATTTAGCTTTTATTTCGATAACAATCTAAATCTACTAGAAAACGTTATCGTAAAATTAGATTAACATAGAA